AAATTAATCCAGATGTTTTCATTAATGTCTGTGGTGAAGCCACGGAAAACCATGGCCGTATGGTTTTCCTGATTGATTAATTATGCTGTTGTTGTTTTCATATTTTGCCAAATTAATGTAAATGTTTGATGTTAATCTTTGATTCTGTAAATAAATGACCGCATTCATTTTGATGGGTCAAAGATAAATAACGTCTCTCGTTACATTTCTGTTAAATTCAATGCACGCATGTTACACAGTTCAGAAAAATGAAGAACCCGTTTAATGTATGAATATATCTCAGTATATGTCATACTACACCAGTCTAACATACTTTTCTGCCACTCCAGATTTCCTCAAGCAATACCACACCTCCTCTCTTGGCACACTGTCATATGCTTTTTCTAAATCCACAAATTCACAATTGAGTTCTTTCTGACCCTCTCTGTACTTCTCCATCAGCATTCTCAAAGCAAAGATGGCATCTGTGGTGCTCTTTCTTGGCATGAAACCATACTGCTGCTCACATATAGTCAACTCTCATCTAAGTCTTGCTTCTTCAACTCTCTCCCAGATCTTCATCGTGTGGCTCATCAACTTCATTCCCCTGTAGTTGCTACAACTCTGTACATCACCCTTGTTCTTAAAAATGGGCACCAGCACACTTCTTCTCGATTCCTCAGGCATTTTCTCACCCTCGAGTATGCCATTGAATATTTGAGTCAAAAACCTCACTGCCATTTCTCTAAGACATTTCCAGACCTCCACTGGTATGTCATTAGATTAGGGCTGCTACAACAAATCGATAAAAATCGATAAAAATCGATAAAAATCAATGATTAAAAGCGTTGGCAACGAATTTCATTATCGATTCGTTGTGTTGAGCGATTATGCGTCTTTCACTGCGCTGCGGAGCCGTTTTGTTCATCTGCATTTCATTGTCAATGCTGACTGACTGAATAAAGTAAATTAAAAAAAAAAGCCTCTGCAGCGTGAGTTGAACAGAGCGAGGGGGGAGGAGGAAGCAGAGCAGAGGCTGTTTTCAAAAGAAAATAAGTAAATTTTACAAATGACCAACGCAGAGAAAACTGTTCGACCCAAGTCTTCCAAAGTGTGGGAGCTCTTCACAAAGATAAAAACTGAGAAACATGCAGCTTTGAAAATTCATGACACGACACGGGAGAATCACGCTGATAAATGTAAACATGTCGGAGTCACGAGGAGGAGGAAGGAGCTGAACAGCCGATACATCTACTCAAATGTGTGTAATTAAGTATTTTATATATGTGTGTGTGTGTGTGTGTGTGTGTGTGTGTGTGTGTGTTTAATTGCACTTTTAGCTACTTTTGCCTAAACCTAACGCTGTAAATTAAACAAGGCATTTCTTGAGTTGCTGTAAATTATGATGTAATACATATTTACTCTCTCATTCCAGAAAACAAGAACAAACAATGACAGCTTCATGATGGACAGACATCATGGACACCACAGAAGCAGCTGTCTTCACTGAAACATCCTTAAATGATCGTCAGTGACATGAGGCCTCTGTCGATGGTTGAAGACAAAGGCGTCACTACAATGATCTACACTTTTAATCCAGGTTACAATAATCCACACTTTTAATCCAGGTTACA